TTGTGCCCAAGGGTGGGGTCTGGGAAGGAAACCGTTTATAGTAAACCTCAGAAATCAGAGAAAAGTGAAAAGAAGGAAGAGTAGTCCCATCCTTGATGCGGGCACCTCCCCGCCACACACGCGCACCAGTGTCTAGCTCAGCTCCGGTTCACACTGGAAAGCACAGCGCCAACTGTCTCTCATTTGGGGTTCTTTCTGCCCAAGTTCCTGAGCCCAGTTTCAAGTGGCCCTATCCAGCATTTTGGGGGCCAGCTCTTCTTGTAATGGGCCAGGAAGCTCGGAAACAGAACATAATCAGACTCACCCCACCCCATCCCCCAACAGCTGCTGTGATTCACTTCCTGTTCCAAATGGTCCTTTAAAGTGGGGGGTCGGAAAACTTACTGTAAAGTCGGACAGTATTCATATAAACATACGACGTAGTTTTTTAGTAAATGTTTTAGTCTTTGTAAAACTTAAGGTTTCTGTCCCAACTTCTCAACTCTGCCACTGCAGTGTGAAGCGCCATACACAATATATAAGCAAATGGCATACTACGTTTCAATTAAATTTTACCTACCAAAACAGGCAGTGGGCCTGTGGATCAGCTTGCCAACCCCTGATCTATTGGGTTGGCAAAAAAGCCCATTATGGGTTTTTTTTTGGGGGGGTGTAAAATAAAATACACATATTTCATTTTCACCAGTAACTTTATTGATTTGGATATTTTGAGTATGTTGGCTGTCTCCTGCTATAGGCTTCTAGTGGGTAGAGGCCAAGGGTGATGCTACATCTTCCAATGCATACATAGGACAGCCCCACAGCAAAGAATTATTTGGCCAAAGTGTCAATAACACCAAGAAACTTCACGAACCACTTGACATGTTCAATCAGTCACAGCACCTTCTCCATACACTGCATGAATCTTTTTTTTTGCGCTTCAGTTGCGTTTTTACCTTTCTTGAAATAATAAAGCATAATACATATGTTGCATTATTTTCTTTCATTTTGATTATTAAAATGGCTGCACAAAAATTCACTAACTTTGACAAGTTTTTTTTTTAATGCACACTGATACGACAGCTGTCACAATGCAATCTAACAAAATTGCTTCAAATGAAGTTAAAGACAACTAAAGCATTACTAGAGCCGTCTTCTGGGAAAAAAAATCCCTTGATGGACTTTTTGGCCAAACCAGTAAAAGAAAATGGGAGAACTATTTTTAAGCAGCTTCCTCCTGACTATTTCTAATTACCTGTCTTAAAACCTCAGGCTCTTGCCCTGACTGGTGTGGCTCAGTTAGGCATCATTGCACAAAGCAAAAGGTAGCTGGTTCGATTCCTGGTCGGAGCACACGCCTGGGATGCAGGTTTGGTCCCCAGTCAGGGCATGTGCGAGAGGCAGCCAATCAGGTCTCTCTCTCTCACATCAATATTTCTTTCCCTCTTCCTCCCTCTCTTCTTCCTCTCTCTAAAAATAAATAAAAATCTTTAAAAAAAAACGCAGCACCTTTTCAGTATTTCTATTTAATTACTAAGTATAACACCTCCAATAAGGAGTTAATATCCAAAATATATAAAGATCATACGACTCAACAACATAAACAAGCAATCCCACTTAACAAAAGGTTGCATGTCCGACTTCTGGTCAGGGCACATGCTTAGGTTGCCAGTCCAGTCACCGGGCCAGCCACATGTGTCCCGTCTGGGCAAAATCAGGAGGCAAACAATCAACGCTTCTGTCTCACATCAATGTTTCTCTCCCTTCCTCTCTCTCTAAAAAGCAATTTATAAAATGTCCTTGGGTGAGGGTTAAAAAAAAAAGGGCAGAGGACCTGAACAGACACTTCTCCCAAGACTTAAAAACGGCTAACAGAGGTACAAAAAGATGCACAACCGCACTAGCTATTAGGGAAATGCGAATCAAAACCACAATGAGATAGCACCTCGCACCTGTTAGAATGGCTACCATCAACGAGGCAGGTGTATAACAAGTATCAGAGAGGTTGTGGAGAAAAGGGAACCCTCATTCACTGCTGGTGGGAATGTAAACTGGTACAGCCACTATGCAAATAGTCTGGTGGTTCCTCAAATCATTCAGAATAGCCCTGGCTGGTGTGACTCAGTGGACTGAGTGCCAGCCTGTGAACCAAAGGGTTGCTGGTTCAATTCCCAGTCAGGGCACATGCCTGGGTTGTGGGCCAGGTGCCGAACGTGTGAAGAAACCACATATTGATGTTTCTCTCCCTCTCTTTCTGCCCCCCTTCCCCCTCTCTAAAAATAAATAAATAAAATCTTTAAAAAATTTTTTTAAATTTAAGAGTAGAATTACCACATGACCCAACAACCCCTTTTTGGGTTTCTAACAGAAAAATTTCAAAACATTTATTCATAAAGGTATATGGACCCCTACGTTCACTGCAGCATTACTCCCAGTGGCCAAGGCGTGAAAACAACGACATGTCCTCTGATGGAGGGTTGAGTAAAGATGTGGTCCATATACACAATACTCAACCATAAAAAAAGATGCAATACTGCCATTTATGACAACATGGATGGATCTTGGGAATATCGTGCTAAGGGAAATAAGTCAGACACAAAAAAGTGAAGAACTGTATGATTTCATTCCTATGTGGGAAATAAAACTGAAAGCAACAAGGAAACAAAAAGACACAGTTTTAGACTTTTACCAGGGATCACTGTCAAGTTCCCGATGAAAGCCTCAAACCCATGTGACCTGGACATACATTAACTCCAGATACATCCAACACCTCTGCAGGGGAACTGGAATCCAACTCTGCCCTTAAAATACATCCAGAATCCATTACTCGCCGGCTACCCACCGCTACCACCCGCTGGTCTGAGCTCCCACCCTAGTTTCAGCCACATGACCCCTCCCTGGACGACTTACTCACCACTGCGAAAGCTTCCTGTTCTCCCTGCTTCCGCCACTGCCTGCCTTTCCCCACCCTCCACAGTCCATGCTCCCAAAGCGACCAGAATAAGACTTTAAACTCTAAGTCAAAACACGTCACTCCCCTGTTCTCCATTCTCCAGTGGCTCCCACCTCGCTTCAGAACGCACTGCAAAGGTCTGGCGCTGGCCCTGAGGCGAGGTGGGGTTTGGGTCCCTCACTGCTCCGCTCTCCTCTCCCACTGCCCTTCCCTCCTCCCCCACGCCGGCACACTGGCCTCCCTGTGGGCTCTCGGCTGTGACAAGTCGCACCCACGCCCCAGGGCTTTTTCACTTGCTGTTCTCTCTACCTAGCATGCCGTTCTCCCAGATACCTCCCAGGCTGGATTCCTCGCTTCTTTCAGACCTAGGCTTAAAATATCGCCTCATCAGAGGCCTTTCTCTGATCACCCGATATAAAGGAGCACCCTCGGCGCCCCAGCACAGTCCCCTTACCCTGCTTTTGTGCTTCTGAGCACGTTCACCTACCGGACATTATTCATCTCTGTGCCTGTCTGTTTGTTTATATCTATTTATTCACTTATTTATAGCTATTTCTTCCCATTAGAATAGGATCCTTGAGAGCAAGGACTTTTTCCATTTTGTTTAATGCCGTATGCCTATTTCCAAGAACTGTGGTCAGTTTCACCATCAGAACATAAGCTCCGGGATACAGCATAATAATCCATGCATAATAGGAATGCGGAGTAAGGTTGATGAAAATGATTATTCCTCTCCCGCAATTCACCGAGAATGTTTAAAAACACTGGTGCTCCAGTGGAAAGAGACTAAAGTATCATCAGAAAGATCAATGAACAAAGGAGCACTGGCTGTCACTCCACCTAACCACCCTGCGGTAGGAAAAATGCTCCGGGGAAAGGAAGAGAACAAGACTCCCAAACCAATTAACAGGGCAAGAGCTGGCCTAAAACTTCCCACTCCCTCGTGAGAGGCTGTGGAATGCTACCCCTGACCACGCCCTCTCACAGCAGGGGCGACCCCGGGAGTGCAGGTGTCGCTCACTAAGCTTCCTCTCCTATGTCCAATCACTCCTACGCCGAGCCCCAGTTCCCAGACCCTTTCTCTGCTTGCCAGATCACTCCACCTTCCCAGAAGCTTTCTCCATCAACCAGCTACCACTGCACTGGCTACCAAGACCCCTGTGTCCACTCTCCAGTGGCCCCCATCTTGTTTGGAATAAAATGCAACTCTTGCCCTGGAGCTAAGACCCTTTGCACACTCACTGCTCAAGTTTCTTTTATTTCATTAGTACGCTCCATGGCCGTGGTCGATATCAACCAATAAAATACTGGCACACAGAACCCTAGGGAAAGGAGCTAGTTATCCAGTGAAGTTTTTTTTTTACTTTGCTTTGCTTTTTAAGGTTAAGTCAGTCACTGTCTCAACCAAAAATTAATTTTCTCTGCCCTGGCTGGTGTAGCTTAGTGGATTGAGCGTGGGCTGTGAACCAAAGGGTTGCCAGTTCCATTCCCAGTCAGGGCTCGTGCCTGGGCTGTGGGCCAGGTCCCCAGTAGGGGGCACTCAAGAGGCAACCACACATTGGTGTCTCTCTCCCTCTCTTTCCACCTCCCTTCCCCTTGCTCTAAAAATAAATAAAATCTTTTTTTAAAAAATTAACTTTCTCGAGAGATGTTAAAAGTACAATGAAAATAATCTAGGTTTGAAACCTAGTCCTACCATTTACTGCCTATGTGAATTCGGAGAAGTTATTTAACCTCTCCACGCTCATCCCCTCATGGTGATAATAACAGCACTTACCTGGCGGTGAGATAACATATGTCGTAAAGGGCTGGGCCTGGCACACAGTAAGCACTCGATAAACAGTGGCCAGGCCTATTGAAGGCTGGCAACTTCGTGCAAGAGTTTTCCTTTGTTAGACTGGCTGGCTGATTAAACGAGAAACCATGTGAAGTACTCAGCATAGTATATGGTTCATAATGGTCGTAAACGACTAGTGACTTTCCTCCCTCTCTCCTAATGGTGAGAAAATTGCAGGCTTCATAAACTACCCAATTCTATCAGTGTGGTTTCACTGCACAACATACTTACCATTTAGGTACTTTAAGCTTTCAGTCGATGCTTCTGGCCGCTCCCCTCGATTGGTTCTTGTCCTGGAAAGTCACTCACTATCTTTCAATGGCAGTTGCCTCTTGACCTGTACAGAATGAAAAAAGGAAGGAAGAGATGGGTAAAACGCGAATCGCACCAAGGCTGAGCAAGCTGAGCCAAAGGCCCGTCCCGAAGGCTGTCGCAGACAGTGTGGTGTCAGGAAAGGGACCAGGCAGAATCCCAGTCCAGCTGCTGCCTGCTCTGGAGGAAGCTGGCTGTCTCTTTCCCAGGGGCAAGGGACTTCCCCTTTCTCTCAGATAACACAGCCCCAGCGTAGACCACACTGCCTTTCCTTAAATTAACAGACCCACGCATTCCTCAACGGCCTAAAAATTCATATGGCATCTTCCAGCTGGGAAGCATCTCAGAAATCAACTCGTTAAATGCCCTGGTCTTAAGAAAGGAACTAAAGGTTGGAAAGGGTGAGTCACACAATTGCTTAAAACTAAAGCCAGGAATCTACTAAAAATAAGATGTTCTAGAAGGTGGGTAAGAACAAACATCAGTTGGTTATCTACCACAGCCCTCGTAATATGTTATGTTTTATAAGCCAATAACATGATAATGCTGCTCCCTTATAGATAATCTAAATTACAAGAAGTCAAGTGACTTGTCCAAGGTCTTACAGCTCGCTAGTAAGTGGCAGTCAGGATTTAAACTCAAGTCTATCTGGCCTCAAAAGCCACTTCACCATGCTGTGTCTCATTGGGTTGCCTTCTGGACTGGGTCCTCAAAAGGACCCTACACAATCCAGTACTGATTAAAACTAAAAATAGAGCTTCTCTGTCTGCAAACGTACCCTTCAGTTTTATAACGAGCCTTCTCTCTACAAGAGAGTTGAAAAGCCTACTAACCCATTTAATCTTACCCGTAAAATAAGTTGCTGAAGGTAGAAGGTCTGGGTCAAATTTTGGTCAACAATGGAACAGAACTCAGAGCCCAGAAATAAAACGGCAGGTACATGGGGGCGAATAATTTTTGACAAAGGAGCCAAAAACACACAATGGAGAAAAGAAAGCCTCTTCAATAAACAGTGCTGGAGAATTGGAAACCCATGTGCAAAAGAATGAAACCAGATTATAGTTTGTCCTCCTGTATAAAAATTCTTCCAAAATGGATCAAAGGCCTAAATATAAGATCTGAAACAATAGAGTATGTAGAAGAAAACACAGACACTACACTTATGGACCTGGGTCAGAGAGAACTTTTTAGAAATTTGACCCCAAAGACAAGGGAAGTAAAGGCAAAAATAAATGAGTGGGACTGTATTCAACTAAAAAGCTTCTGCGGCGCAGAAGAAACAGACAACAAAACGAAAAGGCAACCAACTGAATGTGAGATGAGATTTGCAAACCACAGCTCCAACAACCGGTGCACATCCAAAACACATAAAGAACTCTTACGAGCCCTGACTGGTGTGGTTCAGTGGGGTTGACAGACATCTCACAAACTGAACAGTCGCTGGTTTGATTCCCAGTCAGGGCACATGTCTGGGTCGAGGGCCAGGTCCCTGGTTGGGGGCGTGAGAGAGGCAACAGATCGATGTTTCTCTGGCAGGTCAATGTTTCTGTCCATCTCTTTCTCCCTCCCTTCCCCTCTCTCTAAAAACAGATGATAGACAGACAGACATAATTTATTAAAAAAAGAACTTATACAACAACAACAAACAATCCAATTAAAAAATGGGCAAAGGACCTGAGTAGACACCTCTCCCAAGAAGATGTACAAATGGCCGTCAGATATATGAAAAGATGTTCAACTTCACTAGCTATTACAGAAATGCAAATCCAAACTACGGTAAGATACCACCTCACACCTGTTAGAATGGCTATTATCAACAAGACAGGTAAGAACAAGCGTTGGAGAGGTTGTGGAGAAAAGGGAACCCCCACTCACTGCTGCTGGGAATGTAAACTGGTACAGCCACTATGGGAAAAAGTATGGAGGTTCCTCAAAAAAAAAAAAAAAACAATTATCATATGACCCAGCAATCTCTCTTCTGGGTATCTACCCGAAAAACTCAAAAACATTTGCAAAGATTTCTACACCCCTATGTTCACTGCAGCATTATTCACAGTGGCTAAGACATGGAGACAACCCCAGTGTCCTTCGATAGAGGACTGGACAAAGAAGACATGGTGTGTGTGTGTGTGTGTGTGTGTGTGTATATTACAGAATACTGTTCAGCCATAAGATGAAATACTGCCATTTGCAGCAACAATAGATGGACCTTGAGAATATCAGGCTGAGTGAAATGTCAGAACCAACCACATGAATCCGCGCATATGTGGGATATAAAACTGAAACTCACAAGACACAGGCAGACAACAGTATGGTAATTACCAGAAGGAAGGGGAATGGGGGGGGAGGGTGGCACAGTAAAAGGTAAAGGAGGTCAAGGGCATAATGACGGAAGATGATTTGACTTTGGGCGGTGGGTACAAATGCAACACACAGATCACGTACCAGAGAAATGTATACTTGAAACCTCTATGACCCTATTAACCAATGTCACCCCAATAAATTTGTTTTTTATATCCTCACCCAAGGACCTGGTCCTTGATTTTAGAGAGAGAAATATCGATGTCAAAGAGCATCATCAATCGGCTGCCTCTCGAACATGCCCTGATCAGGGATCTAACCCACAACCTAGGTGTGTACCCTGACCAGGGATCAAACCTACAACCTTTGGTATATGGGACGCCTCTCTAACTAACTGAGCCACCCTGCAAGGGCCATCCCAGTAAATTTAATAAAATAAAAATATATATGGTTAGCATTAAAAAAAATTCTGTTTATCCTAGTTTTGAGGAAGAATGGAAAGACAGCTAAGCTAGTGATAAAACTAAAGCTTCTGTAAGTGTTCTTCCACTCAAACTATCCCCCCTCCCAGTCCATCGCAACTGGCCATTCCTCCCTCCCACGGCCGGCAGACCACCTCTGCCTTCCCTGCCGGGCCCTGTGATCTGATGTCCGCACTTTCACTGCCGATACCATGACGTGCACACAGCAGGGTCTATCCCTACCTCCATCCCCCAAGAGAGCTGGAAGGCTGGAATTAAGACGGAGAAATAACAAAAGCATAGCTTTCTAATGGCTTTTTTAAAAAGATGAGAGCCTGAAGCCTCAAGCCAGTAATACCTGAAGGAAAAGGAATGATTGATAAGCAATGCAAACAGCTAGGGGAAAAAGTAGAAAAAAGGAACTGTACCAGGGGCGGCACCTGAGGGATGTCCTGGGTCAGTGTGGGAGAAGCTTTGGCTCTCTCTCCCTTCCACCCACTTTTTTGTTTTAATTATTTTATTGTTGTTCAATTACAGTTGTCTGTATTTTCTCCCCACCCACTCCAAACCTGCCTCCCTCCCTTGCTTCTTCCACCCTCCCCCTTGGTTTTGTCCAAGGGGGACAAACACTTTTTAAAAATATATATTTTACTGATTATGTTACTACAGTTGTCCATTTCTCCCCTTTACTCCCCTCCACCCTACACATTCCCTCCCACCTGCACCCCTCCCTTTAGTTCATGTCCATGGGTCATACATATAAGTCTTTGGCTTCTACACTTCCTATACTATTCTTACCCTCCCCCTGTCTATTTTCTACCTACTATTTATGCTACTTATTCTCTGTACCTTTTCTCCCTCTCTCCCCCTCCCACTCGCTCATTGATAACCCTCCATGTGATCTCCGTTTCTGCCACACACACTTTTAAAAGGACTTTTCTAAGTAGAATAAGTGTGACTGCTATTCAAACAGCTTCAGAACTGGCCCACAGGTTGCCTGTCCCACCCTCACCCATCATCTGACTCTTTCCCCCTCTCCACTGACCTCTCTCTCTCTCTCTCACACACTCGCGCGTGCGCGCACACACACACACACACACACACACACACACACACACACACACACACTGCTCTGCAGACTAGAGCTTCCCCCGCATACAAATTCTGACCTCTCAGGTGGACACATAAGTCTGACCTATCTCCACGAAAGACTCTGCAGCCCTAACAGTGAAAGTGCACTTGTACTGACAGGTACTGCCCCCACCGCCTACTGCCGAATTTGCTAGCATATTCGTAGGGCCTAGGAGGCTATTCTCTTCAAATAGGAGGGAATGCACAGCCAAAAACCAAGCAAACAGGAACTCCCATGGTCCTGATGTGTTTGCAACTGTCTACATTCTCTCCTATTTCTTAGGGGTGGGAGCAAGCAGCAAATGGTTTCTTTCCTTTGCTTCTGAATGTCTTTTACTTCTTGCATCCTCAGCGAACTAGCCTTCTGTCCCCAGAAACAAGAGGATGACTGTAAACACTCTTGTGCTGCCCCTTCAGAGAGATTTCCACCCTGACAGATCCACCCACATCACTTCCCTCGGGCATCTTTTCTGTGCTTCGTGTTACTATCGGTGGTGACAGTGGTGAGCATGTGTCTGTCTGTGTAGAAAGAGAGATGAAAGGCCCCTTACAGACTACGGTGAGTCCAGCTGCCTCATTTTCCAGAGGAGACAGTGAGTCCCAGAGAGAAAAAGAGACTGACTCGTCCAAACTTGCAAAGCAAGTTGAAGTGAATATGGCTGAGTCCACCTGAGATCATTAACAAGCCACACTGAAGAAATCCAGCGGCCCAGCCCTGGCAGGTGGCTCAGTTGGTCGGAGTGCTGTCCCGTACATCAAACGGTTGCGGGTTGATCCCCGGTCAGAGCACGTACCTAGGCTGCAAATTTGATCCTCAGTAAGGGCACATACGTGAGGGGACCAATCAATGTTTCTCTCTCACATCGATGTTTCTCTTACCCCACACCCATTCCTCTCTCTAAAATCAATAAGCACGTCTTCCAGTGAGGATTAAATTTTTAAAAATTCAGCTAATATTTTTTTAAAATAGAGCCCAGGCTGGTGGCTCAGTAGGTTGGGCATCATCCCACACACTGAGTGGTTGCCAGTTCACTTCCTGGTCAAGACCCGTGCCTGGGTTGTGGGTTTGATCCCCAGTTGGAGTGCGTGCAGGGGGCGGATGGTCAATGTCTCTCTCTCTTACTTGATGTTT